CCGTTACCTCTCCGATTACTTCAGCTTTTCAAAATGACAGATTTCGCTGTCGGTGTGAAAACGGCGGGTCTTTCGTACTGTCCATTAATTATTGGATTAGAATCACCGAATTAAAAACTACTCTTCTTCTTAAACCAACGATTTCGGCAAATCATCCTTCCGTCAAAGAATTGGTTAGACGACACTTTGGTAAGAAACGTGTGCAAAGGTTGCCATTAAAAGGGGACGAAGAAATAGTAAAGGTTTCAAGTAATTTCAGAACTTCCAAAAGTAAAAAAAATACTCTCGTAATCACTTCCTAATAAATATAGTCAAACGATTACATAAATGTAATCATTTGATTACTTTTATTAGAAACTAAGTACGAGAGTAATTTTCTTACTCTTGTAATTACCCTTCAACCGTTTATAGTTTTGGGAAGTTCTGGTTCTCAACCGCTTAATTGTTGTCTTCAAATTAAATTTGTTGCCTTCAAATTCAAGCCATTAGCCATAAAAAAATAGTGCTGTTGTACGTTGGCGGAGCCGCAAAAAAAGTCACGAGTTAGCCTGGTTCGTTCAAAACGGTTGAGTGCGTGAACCTGTGCAAGCAGACAAGCTATACTCGTCCTGAATGGCTCGGAGATGGTTCCAAGTGGAGGAGCTAGACTCGTCCAAAGCGGTTAAGGGGATAAAGTGTAAGCTGAAGCTCTTTTGATTTTGATAAAAACACTCGATTCTTTTTTATACGACTTCAGTCATCACGAATATGAAATGTTCCGTTGAAACTTCGCCCCTCTGCGGCAGCGGAGGGGAGAGTAAAGAGACGAGATAAAAACATGACATCACAAAAAACCCTCACGAATGTTCCTCGATTCGCACAGCCAGTGTCTTGCGTCGTCGATACTTGCTGCGACTGCTTGTAGCTGAGGTAGCTGGTGATTCGTGCTTGTGAAATATACTATCTGAACGTAGGATGATACAAGAAGAGAAATACAGAGAGAAAGAAAAAGGATAACCACTGCTGGACTAACAACCATTTACGTAAGATAAACCTTTTATGGTTCCATGCCCATTGTGCTTTGTTTCAGCTTAAATCTAGCGACGGTGGAAGAAACACATTTCGGTGATGACTCTCCGTCTGAGGCGGCGGCCACAATATGTTCGGCGCACCGAGCGCGCTTCACGCGCAAGGAGATGGCGCCCAAGTATGGGGTCCCTCCCAAACCGACCGCTCTGGTTGTTTCTCCCCAGCGGTGGTTCCGCATTCCCTCCCTCACCCCTTCTTGATGAACCTTACCGCCGCCACGCCACCACCAAGTCGCCGTAGTTTTGTAAATCTGTGTTCTCTTCTTCGCCTTCTTCTTCTTCGGGTTAAGCACGATGGTGGCACATGTGATCGACACAGCACCAAAGCAACACACGAGGCCAGCCATTGGCCACCCACCACCACCACACCACCACACCGCGAAAAAGGCGAGCTCGCTACGCCGCCAACACCATGGCCGCCGAGGAGAGACCCCATACCGCAGCGTACTCCGCAGCGGCGCGGAATTACTCTTGTTTTCGTAATTAGCTCCGAACACGATCTGTTCGCTCGCACCCCGAGGGAAGAGGGGCAAGTGGCGTCACCTCAACGTGTTTTTTGAACCGTGGTCCAAGCGCAGCCGGTGCTGCAAGCGCGAGCATGTGGCCCTGAACCATAGCCTCCTCTCTACTGACAAAGCCTGGCAGATCGTCATTTGACAGCGGCCGCCGAAAGTAAGGAGGTAGACCGGCAGACAAGAGCCATGTAACGGGCACCGCGCTGTGGCGAGACGCCGAAACGCACTTGTCTCGAGCGACGGAATCTCCTCTCGTGCTTCTCGCGTTGCTCAGGCTACCGCTTCTTTTCTCGTCGGGTTTGAAAGCCATGTTTGGGGTCCTCGCCGCTGCAAAAGCTGTGCGCTGAACACCAGACTCCCGAGAAATGCTTTGTGCTACCAGATCCTCGCACTCCAAATCTTCGACCAAGCACTCCCTAGTGAAAAATATACCAGGCCGAGGGCTGGTGTGAATTGATGGGACACCAGGCTTTTTCACAGATGTGATTTGGGACATTTTCACACCAGCAATCTGGCGTTCAGGTGTTACACAAGGAATCTAGTGTGCCGGTGTGACACCAGCAATCTGGTGTTATGTTGTGACATCAGGTTTTGTTGTGGTGAGATACCGGAGCACCTGTTGGCTGGTTGTTGCTGTACTCAAAGAAGGGTACAATGATAAATTTGACAATAACGCTGACGTCATAATTACTTCATTCAAAGAAGCAGTAAAGCACACAGTAATGTTTCGGAAGCTTTACTGTTGTAGGAAGTTGGCCGTGATGAACTGGAATTTGTCCGGAGTCACTCCCCTGCGCCGAAGAACTGGGCGCCCTGTCGTTCCGCAATTGTTGGCCTTTCAGCTTGCGGTTGACTCGTGTCCTAGTCACGCTGGTCCGTTCAGCGTACCCCTCCGCGCCAGTTATCTCCTCTTCTAAGGCATCATATTCGACAAATGGCTCAATTTCGTCGTCCAGCTATTTCAGGTAGGCCTTATTAAGTAGAAGAATATCAAATCTTTCTTCGAGCTCACCGATGTCGGTTGAATCCGTCGCCAGCAACTCGCCAATCTCGTTGACGATCTTTGTTGTGGCGGCTCGCAGGGTAGTCCTCTTTCGCTTCAGGCGGTCCACGCCTTCCTGGCTCGTATTAGGCATAATCTGGCCGTTAATTCCCGGGTTTCGGCACCAAAAAACCGCAATAATTACTAGCTTTCTTTGTTGTTTTGCTACCAGACCATGTCTAACTACATTTAGCTTGTCAGAAGTCAGGAAAGGGCGCCAACACGCATCTTTTCGGCTTCGACTCACAGAGAAGACTCCTTTATTTCCTCAAACTACAACAACAATACTGGCGGAAAGGGAAAGGGAAACCCCCGACGAGGCGAGCGCCCCAAGCTGCTCAAGGTCGCCCGGGAACGTGGTAGGGACGAGGGGGCTCTTCTTGAACACAAATGAGCCCGCCGCGGGATCTCCGGCGACCACCAAGACGGGAGGAAACGAGGCACCACATCGGGGGAAGGGGCGTCACCTAATCAAAAACACGCTCGCGGACGGGGGGAAAGTCAACAAAAGTACAACACTGATGTCCCATCAAACTGTGTGCTGTGCACACCAGGCTGCCTGGTGGGCACATGAGCCCGTGTGGTGTGACACCAGGCTCTCTGGTGTGCCCACCAGGCTGGTGTGCTCGATACAGCAGCATTGCTGGTGGGCACACCACATCTTCGGGTGTTACATCAGGATTCTCTCATATCACAACAGGATTGCCAGGTGTATTTTTCAATAGGGCGGCTCCGTCATCGATCTGCTAGGCTTTGTAAGTATCGAGGAGGCTGCGCGTGTACGGTGCTTGCACTGCACGAGTGCTCGTGCTTGGCAGGGAAGCTGAAAGCCCGGAGCTCGCGCTTGTTGCATTGGCTGCATCTGGACTTAAGCTGAAACGAAATATAGTTTCGTATCCTGTGACTAAAAAGTGTGCAAAAAGTTTATCTCGACTAAATGGTTACTAGTCTAGCGGCGTGTTTATTCTAAGCATATTTCAAGAGAAGAGGCAGGCACCACGGTGAATCCGAGGAGTTTAGGAGAAGATGAGGTGAACAGGGTAAAAATGGCCAATTAGTGGATCGTCCTGCAAAAGAGGCACCTTTTACGAAGTCACGACTTGATCAACCAATGACGTTCAGTGGCGGCGAGCAGCTCATGTTTTATCTTTCTTTCTTTTTTTTTCACGTTTAAGGTCGTTTCGAGGTCAAATGATAGTGACCATGAACACAATTTTTTTTTGGCGCTCCAGATTTTTAATAAGCTTTGGACGTGCTTAGTCTTGAGCTCCTTGCTATTGTTCCGCGGCCAATCAGATTGTGGTATTGTCAAATCAGACCGCAAAAGCAAAAAATCGAATTGCGAGGCCAAAAGAGTTCAAACTTAAGCTCTTTATTTCTCTCCACTTGGAGAGGGGAAACAGAGAAAAAAGGCAACTCAGATGTCGCTTGACGAGCCTCTGCCTCCCCGTAGTAGCGAAAGAGGACAGCATGTACATATACATAATGTTTTTCACAAGCACACTTATAACACAAAAATAGACATTACGTGGGGAGGGGGGGGGGAGGGGGAGAAAAGTAATCGATTTAGCCAAGTTTACAAATTCCAGGGCCACTCTTTCACAAATATGAAACGTACATTTTTTATGGTTTCACTCAAAACTTCTACATTCAATTTAGTCAGACGATTTGAAAAACAAGGTACTATATATTTCAACATCTGATTACTTTAGTTCGTTCCGGAGTGCGGAACTAACAACGTGTCAACAGACCGAGTTTCATAGGCAACCCGCTCATCCTAAGGTAGGAAATGGACATAATATATTTTCTTTTTGGCAAAAATATATTTTTTTACGAAAGAAAAAAGTTTATAATAATACTGAATAGGAATCTGTAGAATATTCAATTTACTAAATAATGGACTCGTAGGACTATTATATTCAGTATTACATATAAGGCGAACAGCTTTTTTTTGTAGAGTATGTATTAGTTTTATGATTGTAGCGGTCGTATTTTTCCATACCAAGAAGGAATAATTATATTTTGAATAGAAGAGGAAATTATATATATTAATTAAGCATAACCAAAATTGGGATGATGTGGCGATATTTGTACAATAAGACCTACAACTCTTGATAATATTTGACATGTCTGTTGTACAGTCTCGTCCCATGACGTGTAGTGATTAAATATAATTCCGAGAACTTTTACGCTTTCAACTATATACAGTGTGCTCCAAGAGAAAGAATGGACGTATATAAACCGTTTGTATTTCGTAATATAAATAATACGGTTTTTGTCTTACTGATCTTTGTCTTACTGATGACTACATGCTAGCAAATATTAAAAGCGGGCAGCGAGAGGCACCACGACACTGGGCACGGCAGCTTCTCGGACATGAGGCTTAAAAACCCTTTCGTCTTTATCGTACAGATTTTGCTCGACGTTCTGCTGGTGCCTATCAGCGTGGATGATGCAACCCTCGGCAAGATTACGGTGTCCGACGTCCCGCTGTCTGCATCCGTCATCAGACGTTTTGACCAACCGGACACAAGCGAGCGTCACAAGCATCGGACCCACCCACTTCAAAACGAATACCCGCGGCCCATCTTCGACAAGCCATCGTCATCGACAGCTTCGTTTGAGGCTATAAAACCGGGCAGCGGGAGGCACCATGACACTGGGCACGGCAGCTTCTCGGACATGAGGCTTAAAAACCCTTTCGTCTTTATCGTACAGATTTTGCTCGACGTTCTGCTGGTGCCTATCAGCGTGGATGATGCAACCCTCGGCAAGATTACGGTGTCCGACGTCCCGCTGTCTGCATCCGTCATCAGACGTTTTGACCAACCGGACACAAGCGAGCGTCACAAGCATCGGACCCACCCACTTCAAAACGAATACCCGCGGCCCATCTTCGACAAGCCATCGTCATCGACAGCTTCGTTTGAGGCTATAAAACCGGGCAGCGGGAGGCACCACGACACTGGGCACGGCAGCTTCTCGGACATGAGGCTTAAAAACCCTTTCGTCTTTATCGTACAGGTAAGGAGGCACTACTACCTATCTTTTCGTAGTAATAACGTGTGCCTGATCTTGCTGCCGTGCCCACGGTCGTGTTATTCATTGTTGTGCAATGTGATCGTGTATTTAAAAATGCTACTCCTGCTTAGCGGTGATGTTGAGGTTAACCCTGGTCCGGACATGAAGATTATAATGGAACAGCTTAAAGCCATTGCTAAAGATATACAGGACATAAAGAACGAAAAGGTCACAACAAATGACAGACTCTCAGCCATCGAACAAAAGCTAGAAAGCTTTAGTACGCTCCAAACTACCGTCAGTGCGTGTCAAGAAAAAATAATTGAACTTGAAGCTAACATCAAAACCATTTCTAAAAAGCTAGACGATTTGGAAAACCGAAGCAGGAGAGCAAACTTGATAATCTACGGAATCAAAGAAAAAGACACTGAAAACAGTGAAATACTTGAAAGAGTGGTTTCAGACGAAATCTTCGGAAAGCTTCTTAACACGCCGATATCAGGCATCGAAAGAATTCACCGTCTGGGAAAAAAGACGGACCAAAGAATTAGACCTGTCATCCTAAAACTACTTGACTGCAGAGATAAGACAAGAGTGCTGAAAAATTGCTTCAAATTGAAAGGGACAACGTTTTCTATCAGCGAGGATTTTTCACGCCCCGTGCAACAGATACGAAAGAAACTGTGGGAAAGCACTAAAATCAATCGAGATAAAAACGACAAAGTGTTCTTGACTTTCGATAAGGTCAGGGTAAACGGGCAGTTGTACGCATGGGACGAGGATAAAAATGACAAAGTTCTAATAGCAAAAAACGATGTCACCGACCACGCCTAGTTGATAACCGTGTTTTACCATCTAATGTTACAGTCCTTAATTTGAACGCAAGAAGTCTTCTAAATAAGGTAGATGCACTAGAGTCTATACTCTTGGAATACAATCCAGAAATCGTTACAGTAACTGAAACGTGGCTACACCCGTTAATATCTGACAGCGAAATATTGCCACCAGACTACATTATTCTAAGAAAGAATAGATTAACAAGGGGTGGTGGTGTAGCAATCATCTTAAAACGCGGTCTTTCTTATGTGCCTATGCCTGAGGTAAAAAACGTGGAATCTTTATGGTGTAAGGTCTCCTTTGAAAATTATTCTATTGATGTCGGCGTTGTTTATCGTCCCCCAGACTCTGACCTACAGTATCTTCATAGCCTCTATGACTACATGCTAGCAAATATTAAAAGCGACAAAATCATCATGACGGGTGATATTAATATGCCCGAAATAAACTGGGACTCGCTGCACCCTGGCCTGGACACTGCTGATGTTATTATAGACATGCTATTTGCGTTCAATCTAACCCAAATCGTCAGGGAACCAACCAGGGTGCAGGGATCGTCACGGAGCTTGCTTGACGTAGTGTTCCTCAGTGACCACTTTCCTTGGGCTCAAACTTGCGTAGAAGTGGTGGAGGGGATATCTGACCATAAAATTGTTGTATGCACGGTACCTGTTCGTAGTTCCGCCATCTCCCATGGCTGCGCCAAATACGTGCTCGATTTCTACAAAGCCGACGATGCTAGCATTCAAACTTATCTTGCTCATGAATTTAACGATTTTCAAGAACTCTATGATGGAACTGATATTAGTATTGACGAACTATGGCAAAAACTCAAGTCAATTATTAATCACTGCATCACTAAGTTTATTCCTAGTAAACGTAAAATGATAAGGAAGCTAAACCCATGGATTTCACGTGAAATCATTCACCTGAAGCGTAAGCTAAAAAGACTAAGAAAGTCGTCCAAAAAGCGTCCACTCACCAACCACAATTCAACTATATCGGAACTATCCAGACTGCTCAAACTGAAGATCAAAGAAGCAAAGCACAAATACTACAATATTACCCTCCACAATTTTGTGAAAGCATCACCGCAAAAATTCTGGAACCATATAATTCCCACAAAATCTAAAACTTCCAACATAAGTGCCTCGGAGGCACAAAAAATGGCAGAAGAATTCAGCAGTTTTTTTAAGTCCGTCTTCACAGCTGATAATGGCAAAGAAAACTTAACTCTACCTTCTAAAACCTACGCAGATAAAGATCTTGGTGGCTTACACATTACAGAAGCAGGTGTTCTAAAACTTTTACTCGACTTAGACGCAAAAAAGGGTACGGGTCCTGACGAAATTCCTAACATGTTTTTAAAAAAATACGCTGAATGGATAAGCAAGTATTTAGTGCTAATTTTTAACAAGTCTTTGAGTCTTTCTTTGGTTCCCGCAGAGTGGAAAGTCGCAAAAGTTATTCCTATTCATAAGTCTGGCGATAGCTCTTTAACTTCTAACTACAGACCTATATCCCTAACGTGTACTTGCTGCATGATAATGGAACACATAATTTTGAAATTTATGACAGAATTCACTGAGAAACATAATATACTAAATGCACACCAGCATGGTTTTAGGAGAGGTTTGTCAACGACTTCACAGCTAATCGAGACACTTCATGATTTTTCGATGGGTATAAACAATACAAGACAAATTGACGTAATTTACTTAGACTTATCAAAGGCCTTCGACCATGTTTCGCACGTCAAACTTGTAAAAAAACTTAAACATATTATGGGGGAGGGACCGATAATAAAATGGATAGAGGACTATTTAAGAAATCGTTTTCAGTTTGTTTATTACGAAATACAGGTTTCACAACCAGTTGCAGTACAGTCGGGAGTTCCACAGGGCTCTGTCCTAGCTCCACTCTTATTTCTTCTGTACATTAATGACATGGTTGATGGCACTGACGCAAACATAAGGTTATTTGCAGATGACTGCATTATTTATCGCGATATCTCATGCCAAGATGACCAAGCAATATTAAACAGATCTTTAAAGAAGGTAGCAGACTGGTGCAGTGAATGGCAGATGGTTTTAAACACTGAAAAGACGGTTTGTATGTGCTTGACCAATAAAAAAAAATGTTCTGGAATTTCCTTACAGCTTAGACGGTAAAATTTTGCGCAGAGTCACTGAATACAAATATCTAGGTGTCGTGATAACGTCTAATTTAAACTGGAATGCACATGTCAAATACGTATCTAGTAAAGCGCTCGTCAAATTATTTTTTCTAAAAAGAACGTTAAAACACTCTAGTCGTGAAACCAAGTTGTTCGCATACACCACACTCGTTCGCCCGGTATTAGAATATGCACTCATTGCTTGGTTCCCACATACGCAAACCAATGTCAACATCCTCGAAAGTATTCAGAGGAAAGCGATAAGATTTGTTCACCACAAGTATGGTCGCTTTGATTCCCCTACAGAATTGCTGAAAAGATCCAGCCTACTGACCATTGCTGATCGCGCCAAACTAGGAAGACTCAAATTTTTATATCTCCTTTTAAACGACGCCTTTAAAATGGACAAGAACAAGTATGTGAATTTTTCCCAGGCAAGAACAACAAGACATAAACACTGCAATACATTAACTGAATACTCTTTCAATAATAATACTTTTAGGTACTCTTTCTTTCCTTCAGCTGTAAGAGATTGGAACAGCCTTGATCCGCTGTTTTTTAGCTACACAAATGTGGATGCGTTCATTCAAGCTCTTGAACAGGACCTTCTCAGCAAGTTCATCAGTTAGTTCTTTCTGTTATGTTCTGTTTCGTTTGTTTCAATATGAAAGGAAGTGACGATTTCTAAGAATTACTTATTTTCGCGCGCCTCAAAAATTGTGTCTGTTGTTTTTATTTGTACCATACCTGCTATAATCCCTCAATGGGAATTGGCAATATTTTGAAAATAAAAAAAAAAAAAAATTTAATTTGTCCAGGCATTTAACTGTTCCAAAAAAATTATTCGCAGTACTTATAATCTGGTAAATATCATCGCCTGTAAAGAATACACTGGTATCATCAGCGTAAATAACGAGACTTACATTGTTATGAATATTTACGATGTCATTGATGTAGAGATTAAAAAGAAGTGGTCCCAGAATGCTCCCTTGGGTACGCCGGCAGTCTGTTTCCTAAAATCCGATTTTTTTTTATTTACTTCAACACACCGGTATTGATAATAACCCGAAGGAAAAATCCATCAATGTAACGCTGTTTGGCAGTCAATGTTTTCTAGTGGACCGCTGACTGTGCCTGACTGTACGTCAAGCATGTCTGATTGGACAACAAGTTACTCTGACCGACAGTCAAACTCCAGTCAGACTCCGATTGTCGGCTTTCTGATGGTTTCCTGGTGGCAGTCGGCCGCCGCGAAATGCCATCAGGATGTCCTGGTGGTGATTCTGACTGTACATCGATTGTCTCTGACTGTACGTCAGAAAGCTTTGACGTGCAGACAGAAGTACGGTCAAAGGACGTAAAGTTCGTTCGGATACCACTATTTCGTCAAATCTATGAATACGAAAAGTAATCCATGCACGAGAAAACGATTTCGGGACGTGAGCCCATAAAACCGCTGACGTTAGAGATGTGACAAGCAACCGACCGACAACCTTGATCAGAAGCCCGCCGAAGCCGCCGAAGCGTCGAACGCGACACTTCGCACTTCGCTTCGCCCATGGAGGCTTCGCCGAGCTTTCATGAACGATCGCTCTCGACTCGTTTTGTTTGCCCGCTTGCTCCAACCTGTCGATCCTGCCCGGGCTCTACAATGTCTTATGTTTTAGTAGAATTTCTACTCGACAAGACCCAGCCTGTTGTGAGTTCCGACGATGTAAGGGACTTTAGCGGTGTAGTTAAAGACGACAAGGTGTACCAGGTCTACTGGGCCGATGACGCGCGAACAAAAGGATCATTCTACGACGCGAAAGTACTCTACATGGCAGGTGAGTAGAACTGAAGTACGGCGAGTGATGTACGAGTGCTTTCATAACATGCTGACGACTTAACTGCATTTGCAGCCGAAGCATCTCGTATAAAACGAATAGTCAAATCGAGTTTCTGTAGCGGTGGCGTAGCATAGCGGTTAGTGTTTACGATTTGTACGCAAGCGGTCGCGGGTTCGATCCTCGGTGGTCCTGCTTTTTTTTTTTTTGCTTTTTCTCGAACATTTTGTTTTATCGAGGCATTTGGCGATATTTATGAGTGCGTATAGCTTTACTCTTATATAAATGCTGCCCTTGATGATGAAACTCCCTTGGCAGTGGCAGTCAGACGTCATCTGATGGACCATCAGATGACGTCTGATGGTCCACCACGTTCCACCAAGGCTGCTGACTGGCAGTCAGTGTCCCAAATTACGTAGCTTGATGGAATTTTCAATAGGGAAAGATAACTTCTAATCATATCTAGAGCAACACCACGAATGCCGTAAATATGCCGCTTTTGAAGTAATGTGTCATGATTGATCCGGTCAAACGCCTTTGAAAAATTTATGAATGCACCGAGCGTTAATAACTTTTTTCAGTGTTGTTTAAAATTAATTTGTTTTGTTTTAACAAGGCAAGTTTGGTAAAGAAACTCTTCCTAAATCCGTATTGACTGGGTGTTAAGATAGAAAATATTTTGCAGAAACTATACAGCCTGTGATGTATTATTTTTTCTAGACCTTTGGAAAATGGGGTAAAACAGAAATCGGTTTATAAGTTTCAAGGTTGTTTTTATCTCAAGCTTTATATAGCACAGACACCTTTGCTACCTGCATTTTTTGTGGGAACGTTTCGTTCTCAATCGCTAGATTAAAAATATGTGTTACGCAAGGAACAATCGACCGCAAAACATGTTTGACAGGTTTAATTTGAAAATCACATATATCGAAGCTCTTACTATTTTTTTAAGCTTTGGAAAACAGAAAATACTTCATGTTCGTCTGTTGAAAACA